GCTGTCCAGGAAAATGGGGGTAGAAGTGAAAGAAAGTGAAAGTTAATGGTTTAAGTAGAGTTGGTGGGGGTAAAAGTTGAAGAAAGTTTAAGTTTAAGGGTTCGACTTGAATTAAGATAAGTTTTATTTCAATTGAAGAGCTAAATGACAATTTTCCCGTTTAAAAACTAAAAGAAGACATTTGGGGTCCGAGTGATGTATATTTGAATAGTTGTGGGGGAAGGTTGATTAAAATGGCTATAGTCGCCATTTAGGTGATAGTTTACAGGAAAGCTTGGGAGGTTAGTAATTTTTTTCCCCTTTTGAAAATTTTATACATAAAGTTTATATTATCGTTAAATGAAACAAAGCCAAGTGTTTGATAACCCATTTGACAACATTTTTGGAGATATTCTTCGTGTGTGTTGGTACTGATATGGTTATCATTTATTTGAAACATTTTATATATTCTCTATTCCCTGTATAAACTTCCATAATAGACAAACCTTCACTCCAATATAATTTTAAAAAATATTATCACCAACCTCTTGTCTTTGTTAGCATAACATTAGCTTTATTAATTATTTATTAATGTTATCCCATCATTTTTCATTTCTAAATATATCTTATCACTGATTTTCCAAAATCAAAATCAAATAAGATATAAACCAAATCTTAAACCACAAAATCTACATGATATTGATTAAAATTATAAAGAAGATATCCCTAATATTCAATAAAACAATGGCAATGCTAAGATTTAGATCCAAGTAATTGCATAATAATGAAGACTATATTGCACTTACAACCAAATCTCACAACCCTCCGACATGGTAGTTCATTATTAGTCAACTCACAATGAGTTCTACCCAACATTGGATCCTGCCTATCCAATAATGGTAAACTCGCAATGGGTCCCGCTTGCTCAACAATGAGTCCCACCTGATTGCGAACGAACCAATTGCGAGCTGTTACGTCCAAATTTGTTAAAACCACAGTCAAACACATGAAATAAAGTAAGAATGAAAAAGTAAAAAAAATGACACTTTATTTACCCTGATTCGTTCCAATTAAGGAACTATTTCCAGTAATCAAATAGAGATTTTTTTTTATTGAATTTCATAACTCTGCAGCAATTACAAATCAATAATGACGGCAACTCACTCTTCTCTATTTTCTTGTAACCCTAGGTTTCTCACTAGTATATTATATAATAGAAAAACCCTACCCCATTTGGGCCTAGTGGCGGATCCAAGATTTTTGTTAAAAGGGGCCCTCCACGGCTCTGTCACTGTTTGCCAAACAACTAGTGAAAACTTTAAAAAATCATTATCAATAACCCGAGAGAAAAGAATGCAATAACATAATACTTTCCTACTTGAATAAATCTATGAAAAGCAAAATTTTGAGTAAATGTGTTGAATAAACCTTGAGCTAAACTTTCTTTTAATTTTTAGTTTTATTTTTGGCTTTCAAAGATTATAATATAAATTTCCATGACTTTAATCAGATTTACCTTAAGCTAAAGTTAACCAAAACTTAAATCAAGTCAACGTTATGTTGACTTTTAATATGAATTAATAAAAAAATGAGGAATTTTCTTGGTATAAACATAGAAAGCAACTCAAATTTCTTTAATAATTTTGAGCAGCTAAACAATGACGTTTGAAATATAGAAAAGTGTTGGGTGAAAGGTGATGAATAATATTCAATAGAATATAGTTAATGTTTTAATTTGGAAAAGCAGGTTCATTCTTAGACACAAAACACAAAATAAACTCACAAGATCTATGTCTTTTTCCCTCAAATTAGAATAAAAGACCTTCAAAAAAAAAAAAAAAAAAGCACGATTCAACCCTAAAATAAACTAAATTGAAATGAATAATACATATACCTAAAACTGATAAAACAGAAAACAAAGTTAATTGTGCCACCTAGAGTAGTGAAAGCTTCAACAATTTCAGTCTTCAAAAGTTTTAAGAGCAAATAGCATGAAAAAGAGAATGAGAGAATAAAGAATTTTGGGGATAAAATCATAAAAGTAGGTAGAGTTGTAGAGAAAGTTTTAAACTTTTAATATGATGTGAGCTTGAAATATATATATTAATAACAAATTTTTTGAGGATCTAGATATACCAATAATAGTTCTCATTTAAAATTTGAGGGTGAGCCTGAGTATAAATATTAATAACAATCTTTTGTGGGTCTATATATATTAATATTTTTTTTTTTTAAATATGAGGATAGGCCTAGCCTCAAAGGGGTTAGATCCGCCCCTATTTGGGCCTATTCAAATTTAACCTGAACCAAACCTAAATATTATTAAAATAATAATAAGTTTAATTACTAATTAGGCTTACCATGAAGTTGTGAGATAAAATTTATACGATTAGCTAGTGAGTTAATCTTTATTGTTATAATGAAGGGTTGGTGGTGATGATAAACGGGTAATGAAGTAATAAGAAGAAAAGGTATTAAATATACTAAAAAAAAAGGGAGTAAAGATAAAATGGTTGTGATAAATGCAATGCCTCTTGATTTAATTAATTACCAATAAATTTTTTTGCCAATACCAATAAGCTTAGCTGTTGTTACGGCACCCATATCTCTTTGTTTCTTATCCCTCTTTATTTTTGCTTTTAATTTTCAGATTTTGCCGTTTCAACCGGGAGGTCAATAGGACACGTTACATTATATTATGCTATTTTATCATTTCCCCACTTTCCATAATTATACTAAATATTTTATTTCTCATTTCTAGGCCACTCCTTGTCCTTCAAACCCATAACTACCCTTCAGTATTTTTATATTTAGAATAGTTTATGAGGGTAAAATTGTCTTTTCACTATGTGAGTATGTATCTTAGGGTTATATTTATCATCATCATCTTAAAATTAAAAATATATATTAAATAAAAATAAAAATAAAAGATATTATTGTTGTCATATTTGTTTTATTATAATAAAGGTTACTAATATTCATAGCTAATAAGCTTCATAGATTAGATTAATGTGATTTCATTTTCTCAATCCTCTTTCTCACAGTTTGGTAAGTTGCTTTTTTTTTGCTTATTTTAAANAACATAGAAAGCAACTCAAATTTCTTTAATAATTTTGAGCAGCTAAACAATGACGTTTGAAATATAGAAAAGTGTTGGGTGAAAGGTGATGAATAATATTCAATAGAATATAGTTAATGTTTTAATTTGGAAAAGCAGGTTCATTCTTAGACACAAAACACAAAATAAACTCACAAGATCTATGTCTTTTTCCCTCAAATTAGAATAAAAGACCTTCAAAAAAAAAAAAAAAAAAGCACGATTCAACCCTAAAATAAACTAAATTGAAATGAATAATACATATACCTAAAACTGATAAAACAGAAAACAAAGTTAATTGTGCCACCTAGAGTAGTGAAAGCTTCAACAATTTCAGTCTTCAAAAGTTTTAAGAGCAAATAGCATGAAAAAGAGAATGAGAGAATAAAGAATTTTGGGGATAAAATCATAAAAGTAGGTAGAGTTGTAGAGAAAGTTTTAAACTTTTAATATGATGTGAGCTTGAAATATATATATTAATAACAAATTTTTTGAGGATCTAGATATACCAATAATAGTTCTCATTTAAAATTTGAGGGTGAGCCTGAGTATAAATATTAATAACAATCTTTTGTGGGTCTATATATATTAATATTTTTTTTTTTTAAATATGAGGATAGGCCTAGCCTCAAAGGGGTTAGATCCGCCCCTATTTGGGCCTATTCAAATTTAACCTGAACCAAACCTAAATATTATTAAAATAATAATAAGTTTAATTACTAATTAGGCTTACCATGAAGTTGTGAGATAAAATTTATACGATTAGCTAGTGAGTTAATCTTTATTGTTATAATGAAGGGTTGGTGGTGATGATAAACGGGTAATGAAGTAATAAGAAGAAAAGGTATTAAATATACTAAAAAAAAAGGGAGTAAAGATAAAATGGTTGTGATAAATGCAATGCCTCTTGATTTAATTAATTACCAATAAATTTTTTTGCCAATACCAATAAGCTTAGCTGTTGTTACGGCACCCATATCTCTTTGTTTCTTATCCCTCTTTATTTTTGCTTTTAATTTTCAGATTTTGCCGTTTCAACCGGGAGGTCAATAGGACACGTTACATTATATTATGCTATTTTATCATTTCCCCACTTTCCATAATTATACTAAATATTTTATTTCTCATTTCTAGGCCACTCCTTGTCCTTCAAACCCATAACTACCCTTCAGTATTTTTATATTTAGAATAGTTTATGAGGGTATAATTGTCTTTTCACTATGTGAGTATGTATCTTAGGGTTATGTTTATCATCATCATCTTAAAATTAAAAATATATATTAAATAAAAATAAAAATAAAAGATATTATTGTTGTCATATTTGTTTTATTATAATAAAGGTTACTAATATTCATAACTCATAAGCTTCATAGATTAGATTAATGTGATTTCATTTTCTCAATCCTCTTTCTCACAGTTTGGTAAGTTACTTTTTTTGCTTATTTTAAACTCTTTCATCTGCCATTTCTGCATCTGGGTTTCTTTTTAATAATAGAAATAATAATACAAATATAATAAGAACATATAATATAGGAAAAAAAAAATGAAATGTAAAATAACTATAATCTATTCTATTGTGGGTAATTTTTATTTTTATAATATTCATTTCTATGTTTCTTCCTTGTCCACCATGGAAGAGGTGGTGGTATGGGAGAGGACAGTTGTTGATTTGAAAATACAAGGTTAATAGGGGTTGTTGTTTAAGCAAAGGTGAGTTTTGGTTGCATTTGAAAGTAAAAATCTTTTTTAATTTTTTTATTTGATTGATGGACAGTACAAGTTACCCCACAAAACCCCACATTGGTTACTTGTTCAAAATCTTTAAATCTAATGCTGAAACAGTGTCAGATAAAGGAGAAAAAAGGTTTTTGGACTTTGTTAATGGAATAGATTAATGGCTATTTATGTACATTGGATTAGTACACAATAGATAGATACCAGCATATCTCTACCATGTCAGCCTGAAGTTATAGGCCTTATAGGCCTGTAACAGTCTGCTACTTTGATACAGAGAGAAGAGAGAGTGTATGTGTGAGTATTCTGTATCTGGGTCTTTATTGCCAGAGCCTAAAAGGGTGATATCTTTATAGGCATTGAGTTTTTAAAGCCTGAGCTTTGATGGGTTTCTTCTGTTTTAATCCTTGGTACTCTGTGAAGGATGTCATGGCTATGATAGCTGTGCTATGCTATTACCTTTTGCTTCTTTTCTTGGGTTTGAATTTCTCCCTTGTTACTGGGAGTTATTACATCAAGGTGCTTTTTTTTATGGTTTTTCTTTCTGTGGTTCTCTCTTTCTCTTTTCAACTTGTGTATTTGGCATTGTTCTTGATGGTTTTCCTCCGATGATTTGCTTTTTTCACGCAGTTAGTTATTTAGTTTCAACCTGTAAATTCTTTTATTTCCTTTGTTCTTCCTTCGTTAAATCTCATTTATGTTGTCGTTTATTGTAGTGCAGTGGGGGAAAGAATGTTAAATGCTAAAGTTGGTGGTGGTTGAATAGAAGAAGTGTAGGTGGTGAAAGTATTTGGCCATGGCGTCAACTTCTTGTGCCAAACAGAGTCCACTGCCTATGAAGGAACCACGCTCTACTTATCATTCATATCCAACTCCTCGATATGAGGATATTGTGGCTAGCCCGAAGCTCTTCATGTCTACTCTTGAGAAGCTTCATGCTACTATGGGAACCAAATTTATGTATGCTTTCTATCTTCGGAGCCTTTTGTCCCCAGCTTGCTACTTTTGGTTAACACTCCTAATAATAATTTTGAAGTTCTGGTTGCTGAGGTTAAAAAATGGATTTTGTTAGTTTTATCTCGGTTTGATTCAAAACCAATAATCTATATTCAGCCTTCTATATATATGAACATATATTGTTGGGCATTTTTGTACATGTTGCTGATGAATGGATGGTATATTCTTTATAGAAGGGTGATTATTGTCAATTCAATGTGGATTACAGTAAGTTTTGTGCAGTATCTATGCTCCTCATCTGTTTCCATCTTTTCCTTTTTTGTGTTTTGTTTTATTTGCTCTCCATGGCAACTGTTACTAGTTTCCCCTTTCAAATTATTTTAGTAATGCAAGCATCTTTGCTTGCTATTCTCTTGACAAGTTTTCTCTATTTATTTATGAGTCAATGGCTTGTTGGGGTTAAATTATCAGGAACTTTGTCCAACTTATTTGGGGCCAGATAAGGGATAAACGAGGATGTTTCATTATTGATAAGATCTTGTAGCAAGATCTCCTTTGTTTTGTCTTTGAATGTGGAAAATTATATATTTGAGGCTTATTAAAAGAGTGATGTTAATTGTTCTGCATTGCTTGTTGGGTTACATGTTTATGTTGAGCTCGGTAAAGCAGTTCCTTCTTTTATCTTTCTTCTTTTACTTTAAAGACCCTTTTGCAGCCGTGTACTCACTTCTTCACTATTGCCAATTTTACAGTAGCAGATACCATTTTAATTATTATTAAATTGAAACATTTAAGTTTGTAATACCATTGGTTGAAAATTGTGACTCATCTTCCCTTGTCTTTCGGTTGAAGACAAATATTACCCCCAAGCTGTTCAAAGAGGTTTAATTTCCTTATCTTTCAAGACTTTAAATATATCTGCTTAAGGACTTATATCAAAACATATCATCTTGTCTATTTGTCTTCACTAAATGCCACCTATTTTCGATTAAATCCTGCTTACACATGCAGCTAAAAACTAAACTGAATTTAGATGTTTGACTGTGCTTTAAAAGCTACTTGACTTGAAATATGTTTATTATTTTAATTTTCTCTGTCTCATTTATGCCAAACTGGAGGTAATTTACCATGTATGATTATGTCCTGTTTTCTTTGATAAATTATTGAAGAAACCTGGTTCAGTAGAGTTATACCAACGAAACATTTATATTTATGTACATGTATTTGCTGATAATAATTTGAAATAGGTGATATTACTGTAATAATTGTGGCGAGGTCGACTTCTATATCTGTGTAATTAGGTTCTGGTGTATCAAATCTAGGATTTAATTGTTTTATTAAAGCAGGCCATATGTTACCTTTTCTATTATAACATGTATTTAAGTTTTTTCCTGAACCTGGATTTAATTTTGGGAAATTACTGCCCTCTATTGATAATTTGTTGTCAATCTATACTCTGATTGTAGGATCCCCATTATTGGAGGAAAGGAGTTAGATTTGCATCGGCTCTTTGTGGAGGTTACTTCTCGTGGTGGTATTGAGAAGGTAAGTTAAAGCTTTTATTTTGTTTTATTGTTCTTATGCAATCTGTTGTCTGATGTTTGTTCTTTGTTAATTTTGTTGTACACCTTGCTTTGGTTAATGAATTGTCCTGATTCAAAAGACATGGTCTTTTTTCCCAAAAGAAAAAAAAAATGTTTTTATTGTGCTAGAAAATTTCCCTTAAAAACAGAGTGGTAAACTTTTTATTCAAAATTGATTTATAGATTCCTGACTTTCTATGCTCTTGTAGAGTTGATTTAAAACGTAATGCAAGATAATTTCCAAAGATGATGCTATTTTTTATTTCAAGCACAGGCTTCTTGCAGTGAGACGACCAAAATGATGCATCTTTTCACCTGTGTTTTTCATTTGATTAGCTTGATAATCTAGAGACCTGGCATATTTCATTGAATGCATAGCTGCTAATGAAGTGATCTTTGTTTGAAAGTAAATGGTAAGAAAGTACTCATATTTTGGGGCTCAGACAAGGTGCTTGCTTCTTTGATTTAAAAACTTGAAGTTTTTATTCATTTAATTTCACTTTGCTTTTTGGTATCATTCGTGACAGGGACTGCCGCAAAAATTTGTTAGGGGGCATAGGATAAGCACCAGATATCCCCTACCTTTTAATTGGACATTAGTTGGTTCCAAAGATGAAACAAACAAATTGTTGTTTTTTTCATTTCTTTTTATTATTATTATTATTCTTTCAAAAAAAAATTTGTAGTGGTGCATTTCAGAGTTTGAATATCATATGGTAGGTTTTACACTAAGAGTAATGTAAACAAAGCAAGTTGGAGTATGGACAATTTCAACCACTTCATTTGTGCATTTTGTTGGTCAATTTTATAACGGCCTGGTCTATAAGCTTAAGATTTTAGTCAAACAATTATTTAACATGGTACCAAAGTCAAGTTGACCACATGGCCTTGCACTTAATTGCCTGTTGTAATAATTAAATATAATAAATTGTGCTTATATTTTGTTCTAATGTGCAATTATACGTGAGGGAATATGTTAGAGCTTAAATATTATTATTGGATCCTGACCTTTTAGTTTAAATTGCAGGTCAAGGGGTTACCGATAAATATAGAATCTTTTGGGTTGTTGTAAAAGAAATATTTTTTTACATCTTTTTCTCTCTCAATTGTGTTGTCTATTATAGCATATACCATTTATTCAAATTTCACTCATACAGATGATCTATACCTTACTTTGTAAGTGTTCATTGTGTTCCTATTGTCAAATATCTAGTTTTATTTTGCTTCTCTTGGGCTTTAGTTTCAAAGGAGTTTCCAGACTCCTCTTTTTTCTTTATTCTTCCAACTGGGAAGGGGTTTTGGGCTAATTTTGTATGTTTGGTTTCCTTGGGTTCAGGGAAAGGAACTATTTTTGGCAGAGTTTTTGTCACTATCTTGTATAGATTTGTTAGCCCTTCTCTTGTGCTTCCTCATTTTGTGGATACCTAGTCCACTGACGTACCTATTCATAGTTTTATATAGTTTAGCAGTTTCTTATTAAAAAAAAGGGTTGTAGTTTTAGTTTAAGGATTATTTCTGGATTTAGAAGTCATTAGAAAACAAGAACAGAGTTTATGTTTCTTCTTGTCAACAAGGTATACTTGTTTCTTAAATTATAAGATTTTCTGATGCAATTCTAGTTAGCTTAAGAAGTTTATTGCTTTTATTGTTATCTTTTTGATATCAACACTTGAAACAAAAGTAAATGACTGTCTAGATTATCAAAAATGATTTAAATCATTTTGTATCTATCGGTTGGTGATGCAAAAATTCTTGCAGACATTGCAGATTAATCACGCATTATAGAACTGAAGTTTGTGAGTGAAGAATCCCATATGTTTTACTCATTTGAAGAAGTATTTTCTCCATTGCTCATCTGTTATATGATATTTTGGCTTCAAAATGTAGTTGCAAGTTGTAGTTGAATCAGCTTCTAAGCAATGCTTGGTTGAATAAAGCAGATCGCTTGCTATCATGCTTTTTGGCTGCTTGTTTACTGCTTTTATGTTTTAGGCTTTTGGCTGTACCCAAATTGCCATCCAATTCTGTAAAAGTCTAATCTATAAATTTGGCATATCATACTCCAGATATAAGGTCTAAAATTTACAACTAATCATTTGCTTTATCAATTCAATTTCATTTTTATTTTTATATTCTCATTGCAACCAAATGGAGTCTTATATTTATTTTTTGATGTTGTATCAACAAATTTTCGTTTATGTTTTACTAGGTAATGCCTTGTATTGCATATTTTATCAATCTAAGAACTACATGGTTAATTGTTGTGGTTAAATCTCTTAATGCTAATCAAAGGTGAATTGTTTAGTCCTGCTGTGACTAATACTTTCAAAATGCAATTCCCAGATTATTAAGGAGAAAAGATGGAAAGAAGTTACAGCTATTTTCAACTTTCCTTCCACAGCTACGAATGCGTCGTTTGTGCTGCGCAAATACTATGTTTCATTGCTTCATGATTATGAACAAAATTACTATTTTAGATCCCAGGGTTAGACTCTAATCTCGGTTTTGTGTACATGACGCATTTTATTGTCTGAAATTAAACTTTCGTTGTTAATTCCAAACAATCTTTTGCAGATTCTCGGCAGAGCCCATCAACAGCCCCAATACCAGCTCAAGGGACAGTGCAGCCATCATCAGATGTTCAAACCCCTGTTATCCAACAACCGAAGATTAATTCTGCTGTGTTGCCTACAGGTTCTCATCGCTTACTTAAATCCTTGTACTTTTTTCATTTGTTAAAACCTGTTGTATTTTCTTTTCTTGGCATATGCCTTCCCTTCGTGTGCACCCTCCCACCCCCTCCTCTCCTTGAAATAGTTAAGAATCTACAGTTCCTATTCTGTGCACAAAAAACCCGAACAGAAACTGTCATTGCATCTACTGAGACTTCTCATAGTTCCCCCAATTTAATTCTCTGCAAATTGTACAAATATATGACAACTTTTGTCGTCTAGTTGCGGGATCCCTTGGGGCTCATGAAACCTAGTTATTCATGAATGATATTTTAGTTGGAGAGTGGAATCATGACAAGTTTTTGTTTTAATCAAGGGTGAGTCTACTATCATATATTTACTAAAATTATGATTGATGGTATGAGTTCCACTACACACTTTTTTTTACCGTCTTCTGTGTATATATAACAAACCAATTGGAATTTTCAAAATCTTATGCATTTCCACTTTTGCATGTTGGTTCTTAGAATGGATGTTTTATTTGATTAGAACCTTCTGTTTTCCTTAAGTTAATTTGTCACATGCTGTTTCCTATTTATTTTATTTTTTGTATGCTTTACTTTATTCCTGTTAATCCAATTTGCAACTTTTATATATGTTGTGATCCAAGTAAAATCCTCTTTTCTTTTATTGTTGCAGCAAGACCAGCATCAACTTCAGGATATCCGGTGATAGGGGTCATTGATGGAAAATTTGAAAGTGGGTATCTTGTTACCGTCACTATAGGCTCGGAGAAGCTAAAAGGTGTTCTCTATCAGTCTCCACAGGACCCTGTACAGCAAATGCAACATTCTCATAATGTAAACACCAACAATTCTGCCAATGCTCATGCTGTCTCTGGAATACAACGTCGCCGTCGCAGGAAGAAATCAGAGATTAAGAAGAGAGATCCTGCTCATCCAAAACCTAACAGAAGTGGGTATAATTTCTTCTTTGCTGAGCAACATGCAAGACTGAAGCCACTTCACCCAGGGAAGGACAGGGATATCAGTAGAATGATTGGTGAATTGTGGAATGCAATTAACGACTCAGAAAAGGCTGTAAGAATCGTATCATCTCATACTTCTATCTATGAATTAAACTCTATACTTTCCTCGTGCTTATCTTTTTAAGTCGTGTTTCTCTAAACATTTCTAGCATATACTTGGGCATATGTGATCTTTAGGTTTATAAGGAGAAAGCTCTTAAAGATAAAGAAAGATACAGAATAGAGATGGAGGATTATCGGGAGCGATTGAGGACAGGTCAAGTCGTCAGTGATGCTATACCGCTACAACAGCGTCTTCCTGGAAAAGAGGTATATGTGGTTGAAGCAGAAAGAAAGCTTGACAAAACTGGAGAAGATTCTCCTCAAACTCCAGAAAATGATAGTAGCTCTGGTGAAAGTGATTTTGAAGATGATAAGACTGCAGAAAAGGATTTGATTATTGAGGCATCTAAAGTAGTGGGAGTAGGTGCTGAATCTGGGAATGTTGGTGTCGAGGATTCAGCTGAGGAGCCCCCTTTCAAGCAGGCTAAGGTTGACGATAATGTTGGACATAAAAGCATTGATAGAGTTGGTGATGATATTTTGAGAGACGATGATGATGTTTTGAGAGACGATCTTGTCGAAAAAGCTGGTAATGAAGTTGGAGAAAGCTTAGCGTTTAGCTGATACATGGGGCGAGACATCAGCTAATGATGCATGGCTCATTGTAGTTTAGATTCACTTTGCCTGCTAATTGTAGCTTGCTTAGCGTAGTTCCTATTTTAGATAAAAGAAGACAGTTTTATCTCTTTGAATTTAAGTTTCTATAGTAGTAGTTGTTTCAATTGTAGAGACTGCATTGCTGTGAGGAATAGTGTTATTTATTAAGAAGGGAGCAAGGTGAGATGTTTAGCCGATTCGAGGCAGTTTTGTAGTTAGAAATGATATGATGTGGTTGTTGAATTAAGATTATGGATCAGACAGACAGCTTTGCAGTTATTAAAATCAGTGAATATTAGCGGTGTGTCATACTACTTTTAACTATTTTGATTTAGTATGAATTATACTTATGAGTTCTTGATTATTTGCACTCTCTGTTTTTCTCAGAAGAAGGAATAGTGTAATTCAAGCTCCAAATGATGATTGGACCAAAGTTACCACTGCCTCGATATGAGGATATTGTAGCTAGTCCGAAGCTCTCATGTCTACTCTTGAGAAGCTTCATGCTACTATGGGAACCAAAATATGTATGCTTTCTATCTTCGGAGCCTTTTGTCCCCAGCTTGGTACTTTGGCTAACAATCCAATAATAATTTTGAAGTTCTGGTGCTGAGGTTAAAAAATGGATTTTGTTAGTTTATCTCGGTTGATTCAAAACCAATAATCTTATCAGCCTTCATATATATGAACATATATTGTTGGGCATTTTGTACGTTGCTGATGAATGGATGGTATATCTTTATAGAAGGGTGATTATTGTCAATTCAATGTGGGATTACCGTAAGTTGTGCAGTATCTATGCTCCTCATCTGGTTCATCTTTTCTTTTTTGGTTTTGTTATTTGCTTCCATGGCAACTGTTACTAGTTTCCTTTCAAATTATTTAGTAATGCAAGCATCTTTGCTTGCTATTCTCTTGACGAGTTTTCTCTATTTATTTATGAGTCAATGGCTTGTTGGGGTTAAATTATCAGGAACTTTGTCCAACTTATTGGGGCCAGATAAGGGATAAACGAGGATGTTTCATTATTGATAAGATCTTGTAGCAAGATCTCTTTGTTTTGTCTTTGAATGTGGAAAATTATATATTTGAGGCTTATTAAAAGAGTGATGTAATTGTTCTGCATTGCTTGTTGGGTTACATGTTATTGAGCTCGGTAAAGCAGTTCCTTCTTATCTTTCTCTTTTACTTTAAAGACCCTTTTGCAGCCGTGTACTCACTTCTTCACTATGCCAATTTTACAGTAGCAGATACCATTTTAATTATTATTAAATTGAAACATTTAAGTTGTAATACCATTGGTTGAAAATGTGACTCATCTTCCCTTGTCTTCGGTTGAAGACAAATATTACCCCCAAGCTGTTCAAAGAGGTTAATTTCCTTATCTTTCAAGACTTTAAATATATCTGCTTAAGGACTTATATCAAAACATATCATCTTGTCTATTTGTCTTCACTAAATGCCTCCTATTTTCGATTTAATCCTGCTTACACATGCAGCTAAAAACTATACTGAATTTAGAGTTTGACTGTGCTTTAAAAGCTACTTGACTTGAAATATGTTTATTATTTAATTTCTCTGTCTCATTTGTGCCAAACTGGAGGTAATTTACCATGTATGATTATGTCCTGTTTCTTTGATAAATTATTGAAGAAACCTGGTTCAGTAGAGTTATACCAACGAAACAATTTATATTTATGTACATGTATTTGCTGATAATAATTGAAATAGGTGATATTACTGTAATAATTGTGGCGGGTCGACTTCTATATCTGTGTAATTAGGGTCTGGTGTATCAAATCTAGGATTTAATTGTTTATTAAAGCAGGCCATATGTTACCTTTCTATTATAACATGTATTTAAGTTTTTTCCTGAACCTGGATTTAATTTGGGAGAATTACTGCCCTCTATTGATAATTTGTTGTCAATCTATACTCTGATTGTAGGATCCCCATTAGGAGGAAAGGAGTTAGATTTGCATCGGCTCTTTGTGGAGGTTACTTCTCGTGGTGGTATTGAGAAGGTAAGTTAAAGCTTTTATTTTGTTTTATGTTTTATGCAATCGTTGTCTGATGTTTGTTCTTTGTTATTTTTGTTGTACACCTGCTTTGGTTAATGAATTGTCCTGATTCAAAAGACATGGTTTTTTCCCAAAAGAAAAAAAAAAATGTTTTATTGTGCTAGAAAATTTCCCTTAAAAACAGAGTGGTAAACTTTTTATTCAAAATTGATTTATAGATTCCTGACTTCTATGCTCTTGTAGAGTTGATTTAAAACGTAATGCAAGATAATTTCCAAAGATGATGCTATTTTTATTTCAAGCACAGGCTTCTTGCAGTGAGAGAACCAAAATGATGCATCTTTTACCTGTGTTTTTCATTGATTAGCTTGATAATCTAAGGACCTGGCATATTTCATTGAATGCATAGCTGCTAATGAAGTGATCTTTGTTTGAAAGTAAATGGTAAGAAAGTACTCATATTTTTGGGGCTCAGACAAGGGGCTTGCTTCTTTGATTTAAAAACTTGAAGTTTATTCATTTAATTTCACTTTGCTTTTTGGTACATTCGTGACAGGGACTGCGCAAAAATTTGTTAGGGGGCATAGGATAAGCACCAGATATCCCTACCTTTAATTGGACATTAGTTGGTTCAAAGATGAAACAAACAAATTGTTGTTTTTATTTCTTTTTATTATTTATTATCTTTCAAAAAAATTTGTAGTGGTGCATTTCGGAGGTTGAATATCATATGGTAGGTTTTACACTAAGAGTAAGTAAACAAAGCAAGTTGGAGTATGGACAATTTCAACACTTCATTTGTGCATTTTGTTGGTCAATTTTATAACGGCCTGGTCTATAAGCTTAAGATTTTAGGTCAAACATATTTTAACATGGTACCAAAGTCAAGTTGACCACATGGCCTTGCGCTAATTGCCTGTTGTAATAATTAAATATAATCAATCGTGCTTATATTTTGTTCTAATGTGCAATTATACGTGAGGGAATATGTTAGAGCTTAAATATTATTATTGGATCCTGACCTTTTAGTTTAAATTGCAGGTCAAGGGGTTACCGATAAATATAGAATCTTTGGGTTGTTGTAAAAGAAATATTTTTTACATCTTTTTCTCTCTCATGTGTGTGTCTATATAGCATATACCATTTATCAAATTTCACTCATACAGATGATCTATACCTTACTTTGTAAGTGTTCATTGTGTTCCTATGTCAAATACTAGTTTTATTTTGCTCTCTGGGCTTTAGTTTCAAAGGAGTTTCCAGACTCCTCTTTTTTCTTATTCTTCAACTGGAAGGGGTTTGGGCTAATTGTATGTTTGGTTTCCTTGGGTTCAGGGAAAGGAACTATTTTGGCAGAGTTTTGTCACTATTTGTATAGATTTGTTAGCCCTCTCTTGTTCTTCTCATTTTGGGTACCTAGTCCACTGACGTACATTCATAGTTTTATATAGTTTAGCAGTTTCTATTAAAAAAAAGGGTTGTAGTTTTAGTTTAAGGATTATTTTGGATTTAGAAGTCATTAGAAACAAGAACAGAGTTTATGTTTCTTCTTGTCAACAAGGTATACTTGTTTCTAAATTATAAGATTTTCTGATGCAATTCTAGTTAGCTTAAGAAGTTTTTGCTTTTATTGTTATCTTTTTGATTCAACACTTGAAACAAAAGTAAATGACTGTCTAGATTATCAAAAATGTTTAAATCATTTGTATATCGGTTGGTGATGCAAAAATTCTTGCAGACATTGCAGATTAATCAGTATTATAGAACTGAAGTTTGTGAGTGAAGAATCCCATATGTTTTACTCATTGAAGAGTGTTTTCTCCATTGCCTATCTGTTATATGATATTTGGCTTCAAAATGTAGTTGCAAGTTGTAGTTGAATCAGCTTCTAAGCAATGCTTGGTTGAATAAAGCAGATTGCTGCTATCATGCTTTTTGGTGCTTGTTTACTGCTTTTATGTTTTAGGTTTTGGCTGTACCCAAATTGCCATCCAATTCTGTAAAAGTCTAATCTATAAATTTGGCATATCATACTCCAGATATAAGGTCTAAAATTACAAATAATCATTTGCTTTATCAATTCAATTTCCTTTTCATTTTTTATTCTCATTGCAACCAAATGGAGTCTTATATTATTTTTTGATGTTGTATCAACAAATTTCGTTTATGTTTTACTAGGTAATGCCTGTATTGCATTTTATCAATCTAAGAACTACATGGTTAATGTTGTGGTTAAATCTCTAATGCTAATCAAAGGTGAATTGTTTAGTCCTGCTGTGACTAATACTTTCAAAATGCAATTCCAGATTATTAAGGAGAAAAGAGTGGGTGAAGGGTGAAGAATAATGTCCATTAGAATATAATTAATATTTTAATTTGGAAAAACATGTTCATTCTTAGACACAAAACACAAAATAAACTCACAAGATCTATGTCTTTTTCCCTCAAATTAGAATAAAAAAACCTCCAAAAAAATAAGCATGATTCAATCCTAAAATAAATTAAATTGAAATGAACAATACATATACCTAAAACTGATAAAACAGAAAACGAAGTTAATTATGACACCTTGAGTAGTGAAAAGCTTCAATAATTTTAGTCTTCAAAAGTTTTAAGAGCAAATAGCATAAAAAAGAGAATGAGAGAATAAATAATTTTGGGGATAAAATCATAAAAGTAAGTGGAGTTGTGGAGAAAGTTTTAAACTTTTAATATGATGTGAGCTTGAAATATATATATTAATAAAAAGTTTTTTGAGGATCTAGATATACGTATAATAGTTCTTATTTAAAATTTGAGGGTGAGCGTGGGTATAAATATTAATAATAATTTTTTGTGGGTCTATATATATTAATAATTTTTTTTTTTTTAAATATAAGGGTAGGCCTAGCCTTAAAGTGGCTGGATCCACCCCTCTTTGGGCCAACTTGAATCAAACCTAAATATTATTAAAATAATAACAAGTCTAATTACTAGACTTATCATAAAATTATAGGATAAAGTTTATAAGATTAAGTTGTGAATTAATCTTTATTGTTAGAATGAAGGGTTGGTGGTGATGTTAGATGGGTAATGAAGTAATAAGAAGAAAAGGGATGGTTGTGATAAATGCAATGCCTCTTGATTTAATTAATTACCAATAAATTTTTTTGCCAATACCAATAAGCTTAGCTGTTGTTACGGCACCCATATCTCTTTGTTTCTTATCCCTCTTTATTTTTGCTTTTAATTTTCAGATTTTGCCGTTTCAACCGGGAGGTCAATAGGACACGTTACATTATATTATGCTATTTTATCATTTCCCCACTTTCCATAATTATACTAAATATTTTATTTCTCATTTCTAGGCCACTCCTTGTCCTTCAAACCCATAACTACCCTTCAGTATTTTTATATTTAGAATAGTTTATGAGGGTAAAATTGTCTTTTCACTATGTGAGTATGTATCTTAGGGTTATATTTATCATCATCATCTTAAAATTAAAAATATATATTAAATAAAAATAAAAATAAAAGATATTATTGTTGTCATATTTGTTTTATTATAATAAAGGTTACTAATATTCATAGCTAATAAGCTTCATAGATTAGATTAATGTGATTTCATTTTCTCAATCCTCTTTCTCACAGTTTGGTAAGTTGCTTTTTTTTTGCTTATTTTAAACTCTTTCATCTGCCATTTCTGCATCTGGGTTTCTTTTTAATAATAGAAATAATAATACAAATATAATAAGAACATATAATATAGGAAAAAAAAAATGAAATGTAAAATAACTATAATCTATTCTATTGTGGGTAATTTTTATTTTTATAATATTCATTTCTATGTTTCTTCCTTGTCCACCATGGAAGAGGTGGTGGGATGGGAGAGGAAAGTTGTTGATTTGAAAATACAAGGTTAATAGGGGTTGTTGTTTAAGCAAAGGTGAGTTTTGGTTGCATTTGAAAGTAAAAATCTTTTTTTTTTTTTTTATTTGATTGATGGACAGTACAAGTTACCCCACAAAACCCCACATTGGTTACTTGTTCAAAATCTTTAAATCTACTGCTGAAACAGTGTCAGATAAAGGAGAAAAAAGGTTTTTGGACTTTGTTAATGGATTAGATTAATGGTTATTTATGTACATTCGATTAGTACACAATAGATAGATACCAGCATATCTCTACCATGTCAGCCTCCAGTTATAGGCCTTATAGGCCTGTAACAGTCTGCTACTTTGATACAGAGAGAAGAGAGAGTGTATGTGTGAGTATTCTGTATCTGGGTCTTTATTGCCAGAGCCTAAAAGGGTGATATCTTTATAGGCATTGAGTTTTTAAAGCCTGAGCTTTGATGGGTTTCTTCTGTTTTAATCCTTGGTACTCTGTGAAGGATGTCATGGCTATGATAGCTGTGCTATGCTATTACCTTTTGCTTCTTTTCTTGGGTTTGAATTTCTCCCTTGTTACTGGGAGTTATTACATCAAGGTGCTTTTTTTTATGGTTTTTCTTTCTGTGGTTCTCTCTTTCTCTTTTCAACTTGTGTATTTGGCATTGTTCTTGATGGTTTTCCTCCGATGATTTGCTTTTTTCACGCAGTTAGTTATTTAGTTTCAACCTGTAAATTCTTTTATTTCCTTTGTTCTTCCTTCGTTAAATCTCATTTATGTTGTCGTTTATTGTAGTGCAGTGGGGGAAAGAATGTTAAATGCTAAAGTTGGTGGTGGTTGAATAGAAGAAGTGTAGGTGGTGAAAGTATTTGGCCATGGCGTCAACTTCTTGTGCCAAACAGAGTCCACTGCCTATGAAGGAACCACGCTCTACTTATCATTCATATCCAACTCCTCGATATGAGGATATTGTGGCTAGCCCGAAGCTCTTCATGTCTACTCTTGAGAAGCTTCATGCTACTATGGGAACCAAATTTATGTATGCTTTCTATCTTCGGAGCCTTTTGTCCCCAGCTTGCTACTTTTGGTTAACACTCCTAATAATAATTTTGAAGTTCTGGTTGCTGAGGTTAAAAAATGGATTTTGTTAGTTTTATCTCGGTTTGATTCAAAACCAATAATCTATATTCAGCCTTCTATATATATGAACATATATTGTTGGGCATTTTTGTACATGTTGCTGATGAATGGATGGTATATTCTTTATAGAAGGGTGATTATTGTCAATTCAATGTGGATTACAGTAAGTTTTGTGCAGTATCTATGCTCCTCATCTGTTTCCATCTTTTCCTTTTTTGTGTTTTGTTTTATTTGCTCTCCATGGCAACTGTTACTAGTTTCCCCTTTCAAATTATTTTAGTAATGCAAGCATCTTTGCTTGCTATTCTCTTGACAAGTTTTCTCTATTTATTTATGAGTCAATGGCTTGTTGGGGTTAAATTATCAGGAACTTTGTCTAACTTATTTGGGGCCAGATAAGGGATAAACGAGGATGTTTCATTATTGATAAGATCTTGTAGCAAGATCTCCTTTGTTTTGTCTTTGAATGTGGAAAAATATATATTTGAGGCTTATTAAAAGAGTGATGCTAATTGTTCTGCATTGCTTGTTGGGTTACATGTTTATGTTGAGGTCGGTAAAGCAGTTCCTTCTTTTAACTTTCTTCTTTTACTTTAAAGACCCTTTTGCAGCCGTGTACTCACTTCTTCACTATTGCCAATTTTACAGTAGCAGATACCATTTTAATTATTATTAAATTGAAACATTTAAGTTTGTAATACCATTGTTGAAAATTGTGACTCATCTTCCATTGTCTTTTGGTTGAAGACAAATATTACCCCCAAGCTGTTCAAAGAGGTTTAGTTTCCTTATCTTTCAAGACTTTAAATATATCTGCTTAAGGACTTATATCAAAATATATCATCTTGTCTATTTGTCTTCACTAAATGCCTCCTATTTTCGATTAAATCCTGCTTACACATGCAGCTAAAAACTATACTGAATTTAGATGTTTGACTGTGCTTTAAAAGCTACTTGACTTGAAATATGTTTATTATTTTAATTTTCTCTGTCTCATTTGTGCCAAACTGGAGGTAATTTACCATGTATGATTATGTCCTGTTTTCTTTGATAAATTATTGAAGAAACCTGGTTCAGTAGAGTTATACCAACGAAACATTTATATTTATGTACATGTATTTGCTGATAATAATTTGAAATAGGTGATATTACTGTAATAATTGTGGCGAGGTCGACTTCTATATCTGTGTAATTAGGTTCTGGTGTATCAAATCTAGGATTTAATTGTTTTATTAAAGCAGGCCATATGTTACCTTTTCTATTATAACATGTATTTAAGTTTTTTCCTGAACCTGGATTTAATTTTGGGAAATTACTGCCCTCTATTGATAATTTGTTGTCAATCTATACTCTGATTGTAGGATCCCCATTATTGGAGGAAAGGAGTTAGATTTGCATCGGCTCTTTGTGGAGGTTACTTCTCGTGGTGGTATTGAGAAGGTAAGTTAAAGCTTTTATTTTGTTTTATTGTTCTTATGCAATCTGTTGTCTGATGTTTGTTCTTTGTTAATTTTGTTGTACACCTTGCTTTGGTTAATGAATTGTCCTGATTCAAAAGACATGGTCTTTTTTCCCAAAAGAAAAAAAAAATGTTTTTATTGTGCTAGAAAATTTCCCTTAAAAACAGAGTGGTAAACTTTTTATTCAAAATTGATTTATAGATTCCTGACTTTCTATGCTCTTGTAGAGTTGATTTAAAACGTAATGCAAGATAATTTCCAAAGATGATGCTATTTTTTATTTCAAGCACAGGCTTCTTGCAGTGAGACGACCAAAATGATGCATCTTTTCACCTGTGTTTTTCATTTGATTAGCTTGATAATCTAGAGACCTGGCATATTTCATTGAATGCATAGCTGCTAATGAAGTGATCTTTGTTTGAAAGTAAATGGTAAGAAAGTACTCATATTTTGGGGCTCAGACAAGGTGCTTGCTTCTTTGATTTAAAAACTTGAAGTTTTTATTCATTTAATTTCACTTTGCTTTTTGGTATCATTCGTGACAGGGACTGCCGCAAAAATTTGTTAGGGGGCATAGGATAAGCACCAGATATCCCCTACCTTTTAATTGGACATTAGTTGGTTCCAAAGATGAAACAAACAAATTGTTGTTTTTTTCATTTCTTTTTATTATTATTATTATTCTTTCAAAAAAAAATTTGTAGTGGTGCATTTCAGAGTTTGAATATCATATGGTAGGTTTTACACTAAGAGTAATGTAAACAAAGCAAGTTGGAGTATGGACAATTTCAACCACTTCATTTGTGCATTTTGTTGGTCAATTTTATAACGGCCTGGTCTATAAGCTTAAGATTTTAGTCAAACAATTATTTAACATGGTACCAAAGTCAAGTTGACCACATGGCCTTGCACTTAATTGCCTGTTGTAATAATTAAATATAATAAATTGTGCTTATATTTTGTTCTAATGTGCAATTATACGTGAGGGAATATGTTAGACCTTAAATATTATTATTGGATCCTGACCTTTTAGTTTAAATTGCAGGTCAAGGGGTTACCGATAAATATAGAATCTTTTGGGTTGTTGTAAAAGAAATATTTTTTTACATCTTTTTCTCTCTCAATTGTGTTGTCTATTATAGCATATACCATTTATTCAAATTTCACTCATACAGATGATCTATACCTTACTTTGTAAGTGTTCATTGTGTTCCTATTGTCAAATATCTAGTTTTATTTTGCTTCTCTTGGGCTTTAGTTTCAAAGGAGTTTCCAGACTCCTCTTTTTTCTTTATTCTTCCAACTGGGAAGGGGTTTTGGGCTAATTTTGTATGTTTGGTTTCCTTGGGTTCAGGGAAAGGAACTATTTTTGGCAGAGTTTTTGTCACTATCTTGTATAGATTTGTTAGCCCTTCTCTTGTGCTTCCTCATTTTGTGGATACCTAGTCCACTGACGTACCTATTCATAGTTTTATATAGTTTAGCAGTTTCTTATTAAAAAAAGGGTTGTAGTTTTAGTTTAAGGATTATTTATGGATTTAGAAGTCATTAGAAAACAAGAACAGAGTTTATGTTTCTTCTTGTCAACAAGGTATACTTGTTTCTTAAATTATAAGATTTTCTGATGCAATTCTAGTTAGCTTAAGAAGTTTATTGCTTTTATTGTTATCTTTTTGATATCAAC